AGGATATTATGCAAGCTCAACACTGATGTATTAATATTTTCAACCAGGAAAAAACCATAAGTTGACTTCACGTGTTTTTAAACCATCCCTGTTGTACCTGCAAGATCCACGCTCACATTGTTCAATAAAAAGGGATGAGGAGGGAATAGGATTTGGTTGGTTTATTTCGTAAAAAACAGCATCTGATTAAGACTTACAAGAAAATAACATTAAAACATGTTTTGCACTAGAAACTCAGGGAGTAAATAAAGAATATGCAATGAAAGAATCGCCAAGACTGTACCTAATCGTGACTGACTCTGAAATTTTGAAGCAATTTGATGCATTAAATGACAACCTGCAAGAAATAGAAGTTCTCAACTTTTAATGCACCCTATTAGTTTGGGGGGATTTTTTTTTTAACTGGATACAGTGAGGAAAGTTATGGTCATAATAAAGAGCACGGTGGGAAAAAAAGAAAAATATTCCAGCAGCCAGAACTTTATCCCAGGTTTGCTGACCCCTCTTTTAACAGCAATAACAGGACACGCAAACTGCTTACAGCTACTTGAACCCAAGGCTTTCGCCAGACTGCAGAAGACTCAAAGACTAGTTGTGACCTCAAAGAGCTTTAACTCCAGAAAACAAATACCCATTACTTAATTCTTTTTAAGTAAATAAAAACTTCTACAAACAGGCAAACAGCTCTCCTCACCCTAAGCATACGCACGTATATCACACGTGTGGATATATCGCATACATGTGGATATTTACGCATGCTTGTGCATTGACAGTACATATTCCACGTTTCTACGTACCTGCCCGGCTCTGAGAGGGGTCGGTGGGATCCGGCGCTCAGGGAGCGGAGAAAGGAGGACCCGGACCCGGCCTCGGCCTCGGCCTCGGCCTCGGCCCCGGCTGTGAGGGAGAAGCGGAGCCCCCGGACCCGGACTCGGCTCTGAGGGGGCGCGAGCACCACCCGGACCCGGCGCGCGCTGCCCGCGCCTTTCGAACCGCGCGCCCGGGCGCTACCACAGCTGCTCCCCGAGCGGGGGTGGGGCACCGGCCGCGCCTTCCTCCCCGCTCCTTCTGAAACGACAGAGCCGCTGGAGGCACAGTTCCAGAGTGACAAGAGGGAAAAAGGTTACTTTGAGAGCCGTTCGCTTCTTTAGGTTAATTTCCGCTCGCGTATTTGCGGAAAACACTGCTGGCTTTTCCTCCCGGTTGGTTACGCCCAAAGCGGTAAATTGAGTGGCGCCGAGAGGAGCGCACATGGCGGCGGTGAGGGGGCGCAGGGGGAGCCCGCGGGGGCGGCGGGGCCGGGACTGGGAGCCCTCGGGCGGGGGATCCCTCAGCCGGGACCCCTCAGGGCGGGGGATCCCTCATCTGGGGATCCCTCAGCCGGGGGTCCCTCGGCATGTCCTGTGAGGATCTGGTCGGGTCTGTGGGCCTCACCCTCCTAGAGAACCCTTGGGTTATATCGTAAAGAACCGGTTACGCTTTATTATCGCGCCCCCAGTGATGTGGTTAAAGGTTTATAAAGCAATAACCCTAAACCCTGGTGAGTGCAGCAGCACAGGGTTTGCAGAGCAGAGCAGGGAGCGCCGGTGCCGTGAGGTTCCTCATGGCTTTCGGGGGGGATGATTTGTCCATAATTTTTCATGCCGTTCGCGTTAACCCCGCAGTGCCGCTGTCACTGAGTTGTTGTCTCCCTGCAGGAAAGCAGAGTGTGTGTTCCCGGCGGGATACTTTGATTTCTCAGCATGGACAAGGAGCAGGTTTCCAAACGTTTGTATGTTGGGGGGCTTGGCCACGCGGTTTCCAAGGCTGAAGTGGAAGAAAGATTTGGCAAGTTTGGGCGTGTTTTGGATGTAGAGATTGTTACCAGAAAAGATGATGAGGGTAATGGTTTTACTTCATCCTTTGTTTTTCACTTTGAAGTGTGAAATGGAATATTTGCTCCAGAGACACTTTAATTTTCAGGAAATAGCTTCATTTTCAGTTCTAAAGGAAACACTGAAATGATGTGGAAATTAACTGGATGTTTCTTATTGATCAGGGAACCCTATGAAGACTTTTGCTTACGTCAGTGTCAGCATTTCGGATGCAGATCTTAGGAAGTGTAAGTACATCTTTTTATTTTTCACTTATTTGTGTTTTTGAGCCAAGTTGCATTACTGACAGTGCATGTAATGTTGTCGCATCGGGGTGTGGTCAAGGCAGAGCTTGTTTCAATCTGTTGTTTTATTAATTCCACTTTAAGCTGCAGTTTTAGGGGTACCTTTGAGATACAGACTTTAAGCAAGTGAGCAGTGAAGTGTAAGCTCATGCTAAAGAAACCTCAGCCTGGCATAGGAGGAGGTGTAGTGAAGTCTGGGCTGTGCTTTTTTAATGTAGAAAATACTCATTTCCCATCTCTTTGTTTTGCAGGCATGTCAATTCTAAATAAAACAGAATGGAAAGGGGGGACACCTCAAATCGAGTTGGCCAAAGAAAGCTTTTTGCACAGGTAAAAATCGGGCTTTAAAAATATATATATTGTTGCTCCACCTTTTTCTGTTTATGTGTTTATATTATGATAATAACATTATATATTATTTCATCTTCTACAGTCCTGTCCTTTCAGTTTTGATAGGCAGTGGTGGAGTGTTGATGCACATTTGATGCTGCAACATGATTTAGATCCTTATTCCCTTCAAGGGAATGTCAGGATGTTAACTCCTTGAGCAGTGAGTGGTTGCTGTTCTGTGGGAGGGGGTCCCTGCCAGCTCTAATTGAGCACCTGGGCTTTGGCACAGCACTTCTTTTCAGGCAGGATGTACTTTTTGGTGCAGGCTTGCCCTGGAGAGGGAGGAAGCAAAGCTGCAGAAAGAAAAGCCACAGGGAAATAACCCAACCTGTCTGTTGGAATCACTGAGAAAGACTGGAGTTGTGGACTTCCCCATGAAAGCAGTACCAGGTACAGAGGTGCCAGAGCACAAGGTATGGTGGGGTAGATGGGTGAGAGAGTTAAAGCAGCAGAAAGCAAGCTGAGTGCATCTAAATTTATGCCAAATCTCTATGCCTTGTGTGAAGAATCTTAATTATTAAGGGTGACAGTGCAAGCTGTGAAAAATAGGCTGAAGAAAGACCTGATGTGGAGACAAGGAGAAGGCTCCTGTCCTTCTTTGTAATGACTTGGAATAATTCTGATCCCACTGTCCTCTGTCATCCTTAAACTGAGAAGTGCTTTGTTCCTCATGTATGTTGGGAATTTACATAAGTCTATAGTATAATATCCATTCATGTCACCCTTAAAAGCTTGTAAAGAGAATATGTGATTTATTTTTATGCAGCATTTAATTATTTTGATGGCTGGGCTGTCAGGAACTGCTCTCTGTGCTTCAGCACGTTCAGGGTCAGGGTCTGCACAAGCTTGCAAGAGTAAGAATAAAATCACTGAACGTGCAAATGAAGGCAAGAAGAATTATATTTACTACAAAGTTTCCAAAATGATTTGCTAAGCACAGGTTGGTTTTGGAGGGATTTTTGGTTTTGGTGGGAAAGGGGAAGAGAGCAAAATAATAGTGATTGTGTCTGTTAATTCATAATTCATTCCCTGTTAATTCATAATCCAGAAGCCATATATTAGAAATAGTAGTTGTAAAGTAAAGAAAGTTACTTCTTTATGATCCCTCTTTATTTGCAGGTTGTAGAAATTTGGTTTTTTGGTTGGTTTTGGTTTGTTTTCTTTTTGAGAAGGAAGCTGGCTAAGGTGCACAGTACAATTATATCTCACTTAACAAAGTGAACAAAAGAGAATTGGTCACAGATGGTTCTATATTAGTGGTTTTGTTACCCAAGAATGAACATCTTATTCTATTACAGGGTTACTTCCACTCATTTTTTGTTTAACACTGATTATTTTCCTTTTCTTTTAGAAGTGGGTTGTTGGTAAATTCGGCAGAGTCTTGCCTGTCCTGCACCTGAGGAATCAGCAAAAAAATAAAATATCCTTTTCCTATTGTTTGGGCACAGGCACAGTTCCCTTCCTCATTTTGTCAGGTGGAGAAACAGTTGCTGAACAGTCTTAATTTTGGCTGCTGTGTCAGACTTCATTTACTGAATCCCCCGAGTAAATCTCGCCGTAATTGGTGTGGTTTGGCTGAGTTTCTTTCACTGCAAGTCAGTTGCTTAAAGGCATCAGATAACAAAGACTCCTTGTTGTCCTTTCCCGCCGAATTCAGCCTGTCCATAAAGACTTGACTCTGCTTGCTGGAGGAATCCTGTTGTTTTACTTCCTTAACTCAGACCAACATTGTGAAATATGACCCGTCCAAGTATTGCCATAACCTGAGGAAGCTGGAGCCAGAGCTGGCACAGGCAGCTCCTGTGTCCGAGCTCACCTGGCACTTGGAAGGGAGAGATGCCAGTGCCAACAGGAAGCGACCAGCAGAGTTCCCTGGGATGAAGAAACCCCAGAAAAAACTGAGGCAGCTGGGCAGTGAGGCCCTGAAGGGAGCAGCAG